AGAGCTTTTGAAACCTGCACCAAATATTCTTTCAATGACTTTACCGAACAATTTATGTTGTTGTATAAGTTTGCTTACACAAAAACTTTACTTCAGTTTTCTTTTTTTTTGGTCAAATTTGTCTTGTTCTAGTTTAAGTTCTTTTCGCAAGAAGTGTCAAGATATATGATAAATTCATCAATCAAGCACAACGACAAATTTCTTTGTGCTTTGTGCTTTGTGCTATTGCTTGTCTTCACGTGTTATTATGTTGATGCTCAATTATGTTCAGTTAACTAACTATAGTATATGTTGTCTTTTGTATAGGGTCGAGATGGACGACCAGTCAACTTTGGTTTGTCTTTTTGAAGATGTTGGTCAGGTGTTGGTCAAAGTGAAGGCATTGGTGAGGGTGCCGTTGAGGGTGGTGTTTTAGATTGTAATTTCTCAGTTGATGAGGGTGATGGTGCTGGGTTAGAGAGTAATAAATTTATGGTGGATGATTTAGATGTATCGGTAGATAATGTGGAAATTAATTTAGACAACAAATACTCATATAATCTAGTTGATGCAATATTGTTGATTGATGATGAGGAAGTTATAGAAGGAGGGAAGAACATTAAGGAGTTCCACAGGAGGGACACAAAGGGTTGGATTATAGCAAAAGCACTCATGGAAGTTATACCATCCAAACAATCTATTGGAGAATCATCTAATCCCCAACAATCCGATGTGGTTATTGCTGAAGGTGGTTACTAGACAGACTATTATGAAATAGATGGAGATGAGAGTTTGAGTTCTAATGTAGAGTGATAAGATGGTGATGTGACAAGAAGGAGAAGTAGGTTTCCAACGTTTGATCCTAACAGTTTAGTGCATTTTTTTTCTATGTTTGTGAAGTTTGATGATAGTAAGTAATTTAAAGATGCTCTCGTAAAGTACTCAGTGGTTGAGCAGAGAGAGATAAAATTTATCAAGATGAAAAGAAACTTGTTAAAGCAAAATGTGTCGATGAAAATCATCCTCGGAAGATTTCTGCATCTTTGGACGTTAGAATTGAATCATTTCATGTGAAGACCTATCACGAAGAAGATTCATGTAGCATCGGCTTCAATAATAAGAGGGTCACAAGTTCTTGGTTGGCTAAGCATTACCTTGGTACAATTAAAGCAATGTCAACTATGAAAACTAGTGCCTTGAAGGAGCTTATCAATGATTAGTTGGGCTTAAATGTAAGTATGGATCAGAGTACAAAGGCTAAGTTGCTTGCCTTTACAGTTTTGATGGGAAACTATAAGAAAGAATATACAAAGTTGTGGGATTATGCAGAGGGGCTTAAGGAGACAAATTCTGGGAGTAATGTTATACTAAAGGTTGAAAAGCCCGAAATGCATTCTAAGGCATTGTTTGAGAGAATGTACATCTTGTTTGCTGTATGCAAAAAAGGTTTCTTTGATGGATGTAAGAAAGTGGTGGGGGTTATATGGTTGCTTCTTAAAAGGAATTTGTAAATGGGAGATCTTGTGTGCCATTGGAAGGGCTGCAAATGATCAGATATTTCCAATTGCCTGGGCAGTTGTTAGAGTTGAGAGTGGAGACACCTGGACTTGCTTCTTGACACAATTAATGTGGGACCTCAACATTATAAACACCTATGGACGAGGTTAGGTCATAATAAGTTATAAGCAAAAGGTAAGTTCCCTGTTTCTTTTTTATTGTCGTAAATGATCCCACTAGTAATATATTATTTTCATTGGAATCATATTTTGTAGGGCCTTCTACAAGCTGTGGCCAAGTTGTTGCATGTAGCTAAGCATAGAATGTGTGCTAGATACATTTATGCCAATTGGGCCAAGAAGTATAAGGGCTACAGATGCAAATACTGTTTTGGCAGTGTGCTTAGAGCAGTACTATGGTAGAGTACGGTGAACATGCTCAAGTATTGAAGAAATTAGTCTTGCTACATATCATGACTTAGTTCAAACAGAGCCAAAGCGCTGGTCCAGGGCTTTCTGCACCACCAAGGTCAAATGTGATATAGTTGACAACAACTTATGTGAGGCATTCAACGGAAGAATCGTAGATGCCAAGTGTAAGTCCATTTACAGTATGTTAGAGGAGATGAGGATAATGATAATGACAATGATGCACACATAAAGGGATGCATGTGCTCGATGGAGGAGGGAATGTGATCCAAGAATCATAAACAAGTTGGAAGAAAATAGACTTGCTGCGACTTACTCCCAAGAGATATGGAATCGTGATAATGGATATGAGGTGATGGATAAGGGTGAGAAGTACGTAATCGATGTATTCAAGAGAGACTGTACTTGCAAGAGGTGGCAGCTTATTGGCATCCCTTGTCCCCATGCCTTTTTTGCTTTAAATCATAGGTAGGAGGATGCATATGATTATGTCGATGTGTGTTACAAGAAGGAGAAGTTCTTAACTGCATATCATAACATACTGATGCCAGTTTGAAGAGAGAGATTTTGGGAAAAAACTAATAAGGAGGCATCTAAACCACTTCCAGCCAGGGTGAAGCCCGGTAGACGTAAGCATAAAAGATTAAGGGAGGAATGTGAGGTGGCAAGTGGCACTCGGATGTCGAGGAGAGGAATGACAATGACTTGTCAAACTTGCAAGAAAATAGGACACAATCATATGACATGTCCAGTTAGGAAGGCTTGGTCTGCGGCTTCACAAACACACTTTTCAAGGCAAAAACTTCCACTAAGTACTTTCATTTCCATGATGTCATACTTGCTTCGGGGATAAAACCTTAGATGAATTTACTCTTCCCAGGTTCATAGATGTGCAAGCGAAGGTGCATGTGGTAGTGTTAGTGGGACACCAATTGCTGATGCTGCTCCGGGGACACCTATTTATTGGACTGTGAGTAGTTTTCTGTTTGATTTTCAATTTTACTCGCAAGTACTTCTATTTCCATGATATCATGCTTGCTTTATCGATAAAACCTTGAGTGAATATTACTCTTTCCAAGTTTAGAGACATACAGGTGAAGGTGCAAGAGGCAATGTTGGTGGAACGCCAATTGATGATGCTGCTCCTAGGATGCCAGTCCATGGGAATGTGAGTAGTGTTCTATTAAATTTTCTTTTTTATTAGCAATTTTTTATTAAATAATGAAATTTAATAATTTCGGGTCAAGATTACAAGTGCTGGATAGAGCAAGAGACAAAGAGTTGGTTTACAAACACATGTTGAATCAACATCACAAATAGCTGCAAAGAAGAAAAATAGTGACAAGAAGCAACTCCAACCTACAAGAAAAAGTGATAGGAAGTAGTGTTGTGGTTGTTTTCTTCTTCTTTTTTTGTGGCCAATGGGTTCAATGAAGTATCGTTGTGGCTGTCTTTTTTTTCTGTCGCTCATAGGTTAGTGAAGTAGCGCTGTGGTTGTCTTTTTGTTTGTTGATGATAGGTTGGTTCAGTGAAGTAGCGTTGAGGATTTTACTTTTTATCTATTGGCTCGATTATGGCTCATTGGCTTGGTTGGGGATCGGTGAAGTATTGTGCTTGTTCCCTCCTTTATTGCAATGAAATGTGCTTAAGCATTCTGATAAATTGGGATATATCCGATGTTACTATTACTGGTTGTTGCATATTCTACAACAAGTCAAACAAATGCTTAAGTTGAAGCAAGTGCTCCTGGGAGAGTTGATGTTCAATCTATTTGTTTTTGCATTGGTCACTGTTAAGCTATTGAGATGCTACCAAAGTGAACTAGACAAATGCCACTCAGGTCATGAGATTTCCCTAACTCTATTTCTGATTTAAGCAACATTTGTTCCAGACATGATATTAAACTATTAAAAATCCAAACAACACAAAGAACATTGCCACAAACATATGTGTTTTTCAAACTGCAAAAAACCTTCACTTCATTCATCCCACAAACAGAGTGCACATACATGTACAAAACATGTCGATGAATACAAAACATATTCAAAATAACACATTCTATGCCAACCTCATGACATCCTTCACCTTTAAATTTTAAAATAAAATATGAGCTAAAATTACTATAAACACCGACAACACAACTGCAACTTTCTCCTCTGTTGTTGTGGTTGTATCTTGGGTAGCCGTAGTATCTTCTTCCCCAATTGTCCTTCGTCCTTGCTGCTCATAGAGGAGATTTGAGGCCACAATAACAAAACATGGATGTATCGTTCTTGATTGGAGGGACCAACGTCATCGATTGTGACGAATAGCTAATCTCTTCATGAATTCACTAATCTCTTCTTGTGATGACACATCATTGTTAGTTGTAGTGCTACTACTGTTTATGCTGTCAAAATTACTACTGGAGTTTCCTTTTGTGATTCTGCCATCTACAAGGGAAAAAGTGAGGATAGCATAAGATTTAAGAGAATCCAAAGGGACACTTCTAATAGTCAAGACAATGAGCAAGCATGATGGACAGATAAATAGATGCTAATAAGATGAACGCTTCCGGTAGGAACACTTCCAATATGAACGGATTCATGCTATAAACAGAGGAAAATTTCGTATAGGAGAACAGATGATACCTGAGCAAATTGCACTTGGACAACCAAAAGGATATCCTTGACTATGAATGAAAGGAACTAAAGCATCTAATCGGAAATGCTTAAGGAGCCATGGATCTATCATTTTCTAGGAAATCATCAAGAAAACTCTTAGAACAGAATGAGGAGACGGTTACCATAGCATTTGACAACTGAATTGGCTATATTGATTGTACTACCTAACTGAAATAACCTCTTAATGATCGTTAGTGTAGTTTTTACTCTCAGTTGTGCCATGTCAATCCATCTCCTTTCTTTTGGTTTAAGCGATGAGCTTACTAACAAAGCCTACCATGCACAATTATCAAACCACTTACTTTCCAATCTATGAATGTCATTCTCAGGTTGACCACTGAGGGCCTTATCATTTGAACTTGCACTATCCAGATTCCTCAGGCTTGGCTAGATAATTGTAGGGCATGGTTGTGACAAGATTTTCTTAGACCTACTATCTTGTGTCAAGATAGCATGAATTGTTTCCTGCATTTGCAACTGGTGGAGCGGCTAGACTTGAAATAGCAGTACGATCACTATTTCCTGCATTTGCAACCATTAGTTGTAGTATATCCAACCTATATGTGTAGCCTTCAACACCAAATACTCCAACAGCAATTTGAAAAGTCCTACAAAGCCATGTTAATAAGAATTGAAAGAATCAAACATCTAATCGAAGCATGACAAGGGAAATAGAATATTTTCTTCCCTAAAGTAAATAATGAACAGATATCACATGCTTTACTTAGCTATAGGCAAAGTTATGGAACAAGACAAATGCTGACCCAAAGAAAAGGACACTGAAGTAAAGTTTTTGCGTAGGCAAACTTATACAACTCTATGTATTGTCTAGTGAAGTCATTGAAATAATTATTCGGTGCGGGTTTCAAAATCTCTAACAAAATGCCCATGTACTTCATTCAATCTTTTGTGCCTCCTATGACATTTCAAAGCAAAGTCTAATTCCATTCAATGTGCCTAAATAGAAGTCATAGTTAGTCAATCTATAACCGTGCTCAAAGTTTCAGGAGGTTAAATTTCAAGTGACGCTACTCAAATAAAATTCTTAAAAGAACAGCCCACCTCAGTACATTAACATCCCATGGCTTTTGGTACCAAAAGAACAACCCACCTCAGGCTAAAGTTCAGTGATAAACACATTTTAACTAGCAGATCTCGATATAGAACCCACATCAAGCAGTAATACCATTACCATCAGTTCCAGCATACAAAAGAATTCATAAATCTTTGCGTCGTGTTTGGGAGCACGAAAAGATTGTTTGCTGAGTGCCGACAACACAAGAAAATCAAGACCATACACCTTGTTGCGTTCGCTGCAAAATCTCGAGGTTGAATTAGGTGTTGTGGGTGAATTAGGTCTACAATTTTGACGAGCGAATGTGGGATTAGGGGAGCCTATTTGATGAAAGAACGACGCGGCTTGAGCGAAATTGTTCAATTCGACTTGAGAATGAATCGATTTGAGTTACGGTTCTTTGGATTAGAGTGAGGATTGGGGTGAGCATTCGATTTGGGCAAGAGATGAGGGTTCCAAGCACAGCAAACAACTCTAAACTCTTTCTTTTTTCAGTTGTAGAAAACGCTGTCATTTTATCTTTGGCGACCACATTAGCGCCGGCTTCCCGCCAGTTTGGCCACATAGGATGGCCAGCGCTGACTAGACATCTACGTAAGCATTTTCCGGGTTAAATTTGTTGGAAGGACTGAATTAGCAAATTGTTGAAAGGTTTGGAACTGAATTGCAAAATCGAAAAGTTTAGAACTGAATTGGCCGCCGTACGATAGGTTTAAGACTTTTTTGATAATTTTCCCGTATTTTCTACGTGTTGAAGTTTTACAAAGTAGGAAATGTATTAATTTATCTTAGCGTAAGTATGTTCTTAATCTTTTGTCTAAGACTAGAACACTAGCTTTCAAGCCAGTTGATACTCCTATGGATCCAAATCGGCAGTTTGGAGTTGGTCATGGAGATGATATTGAAGATAAGCATCAATATCGGCATCTAGTTGGGAAACTGATTTATCTTACCGTTACATGTCCCAATATTTCCTTTGTTGTTGGTGTGGTGAGTCACTTTATGGAGTCACCCAAGAAGTCCCATTGGGATGCTATTTGTCGCATTCTTCGGTACCTTAAAGACTCTCCTGGTAAGGGATTGATTAATAAACAAAATGGTTCTTCCACTTTGGTTGGCTATTCTAATTCTGATTGGGTTGGGTCAGCGTGTGATCGGTAGTCTACGACTAGGTATAGCACTTTTCTTGGTGGTAATTTGGTTACTTGAAAAAGTAAGAAATAGACTACCATTGTCAGGTCTAGTGTGGATTCTGAATATCATGCTATGGAATATACTGTGGCTGAATTATTGTGGTTGAAATCCCCTCCAGGAGGTTGGATTTCCTATTAATCAACCTGTTGACATGATGTGTTATAATCATACATCTATTTATATTGCTGGGAATCCTATTTTCATGAGCGAACTAAGCATATAGAAGTTGACTATCACTTTATTAGTGATTCTGTGAAGCAAAAGTTGGTTGTTACTCCTTTTGTTGCCTCTAGAGATCAATTTGATGATATGATATGCTCACTAAAGCGTTGTTTTGTCCTGCGTTTGTTGCTGGTTGTTCCAAGCTGGGCATGGGTGACCTATATGCTCTGGCTTGAGAAGGAGTGTTACGTTACTTGAGTGGTGTCGAGTTTCTTTTCTGTGTTTTATTTCTTTTTACATACATAAGAGGATTATAGTCATGTACAACCTATATAAATATATTGCGATAGGTCTAGGGTTAAGTGTATACAGAAACTGAGAGCCCCTTGGTAGGTTTTACGATCTATTTCTTCCTCTCTTCTTCTCCTCTCAATTTCCCCTCTCTTCCTTCTTCTCTCTTGGCTATTTACCGCAGGTTCTCTAATCAACTTTGTGACAAGACCTAGCAAGTAGCAATTGGCTATGTATCCCAAGCGGTCTAGTCAAGGGGATGTACCTATCCCGAGGCTTATGCGCACTAGCGATAGGCTTCGAAGGAGGCCTCTAGAGACCTCGCCAGAGGTCGGCGAACTGGTGAGGGCGTCACAGCCTTCGCCGACCTCTAGTGAGGGCTGGGAAAGTCCCCTCGCTAGATTTGGCAAGGGGCAACCTCGCTCGGCCCTCACCAAAGGCTAGTGAGGGCGTCCCGGCCCTCTCCAGCGACCTTCGCTAGCCATCACAGAGGCTGGCGAAGGGAAATAAAACAAAAAGAGAAAGGAAAGGAAAGAAAAAAAAAAAGAAAAGAGAAGGTAAAGAAAATAAAAAATTAAATAAAATGTTCACGTCAGGGCTAGTCGTGCCACGTAGGACAGCCGTTGTCCACGTGAGTAATATCCGGTCTAAATTGGCCAGATGGACTTAATTGGTACCAATGTAAAATTGTTGAGTACTAAATTGGTCCTATCAAATGGTTTAGAACTGTATTAGTACAAATGCAATATGTTTAGGACTTTTTTAGTACTTTCCCCGAAAATCATGGGTCGGCTAGGCCTGCCCTAAAAAAACACGAATCTGAAAAGAAACAAAAAAGGCAAAATAACCACATACAAATCTACATGTGAAATTAGGAAAGTGGACCATGTGATATTGCGAAAAGGAAAATTAAGGTTGGCAATTTCTTATAGAAATAAGTAACTTATAAGGCATTGGTAAGCCACAAAAATAAATGTTGATAGATTATTAAAATAGTTGGTAATATCATAAGTATAGAGAAATGCCGGTACTTCTCGAAATCGAGGAAGATAAAAAGTTGGTAAGTGAATAAAATTAGTTAATATCTTAATGTAACGAACGTTGTAACTTTAACTCAGATTAAGATTGTTAATTTCCAATAGAAGTCAGTAACTTCGATGCCGTTGGTAATCGAAGAAGATAAATGTTGGTAGAGTATTAGAATTGACGGTAGTTTTTTGGAGTATAGGTAAGTGTTGGTACTTACGAAAAAATGTTGGTAAGTCACAGGCGCGCAACCCGGGTCATGAGGATGTTAGTCACTTTTTATTACGAACACTAGCGATGTACCAATATGGAATTGGATTTCGAATTTTTGTCAAATAATATCATGCCCTCAGCGAAAGGCAATGAACTCTGCCTTGGTGAAAGGTTATGCACTTTTCTTATACAAAAAAAAAAAAAAAAGGGATAGCAGCGTGAAAACGCCACCCCATTAATCTAATCGTATGGACTAAACTGATGCTTTTTGTTGCAAAATCAAAGAGAGATTAGAGAGAGAAAAAATAAAAAGCAAAATGAAATTATCGGCGGAAAACTGATGCTGTAATTTGTCGGGAGGATTACTTATAGCTTAACGAAAAGTCGATGTTGGATCTGCTTATTTTAGTACGTACATATATCACTATCATCATGCATGAATGTAAATGTTAATCTGTCCTTGTCGTGTGACATTGGCCGACTGATACGAGGCCAATAGTGACTCGCGAGCTCTCGTGTTGTGAGAAAGAAAAAGGTCATATTTAACGGCAATTTCGAAGAGGGCCAATCTAATTTCGTTCGTCTATCTTCTTGATTCTAATTAAATAAGAGTACATACATTATTAGGTGATACACTAGAGCCACTAATAAGCGATGTGTATGCTTATAGTAATTATGACGTTATGTCTATGGTCATATCTTGGATCCCAATATAAATTCATGAAAAAGGTCAATGGAGTCAAGTTTGCGGTGCGGGATTACATGATGAAATAGTCACAAGCTCTCGTGCTTTGAAATAGAAAAAAGTCGTATTTGACGGCGATTTAGAATAGGGCCAATCTAATTTAGTCCATGATGTATCTTCCTGATTCTAATTAAACGAGAGTGCATACATTAGGTCATACCACTAATACGCGATGTGTATGCTTATAGTAATTATGGCGTCAGCGAGGGTCACGTTGTTTTTATTCATAAGCTACTGGGTCCATAGCAATTCATGAAACGCGTCATAAAGATAACACTGTTGTCTATTCATCGTGCATGTAGATTGGTAACGCAAGATAACAACATGACCTGAATCACTTATTGTAATGCTAGTGTCACCTGCTATAAGCCTTTTCGATCTCATTGAATCGCTCATCGATCGAGAGTCTCCAATCATATCCATGGATGTCGTGCAAGTAAAATTTTCCATCCATAGCCGATGATACACGATATGATGCGATCACTAATCGACGATTTGAGGAGGACAAATTCACACTGATCACAAATTATGACACTAATGTATTGTCATATTTTCAATACCATGGGCATATACATGATCAATAATTAATCGAAGGGAGGCCAATTATAATTGACCAATGCCTAGACCTTAAAACATAACAACCGGGGCATATTATAAACATTATTATTATTATTGTCATCATCATCAATCATCACCATCTTATATTTGATATCATGAGAGGAATCAATCAGTTGTACCCTCCTTGTCCAGTGGTATTCCTCCGTAGCCAGCCTGGAGCAGCCTGGGTCCTGCTCTTGAGATAATGAGCCAAGAAACGATAATAATTTAGTATTTATTTTACTAACTAGGGACATGCGAAAATTATATTCATAAAATATGGCCAAAACCATACTGAAAGTTCT